AAGTACATGGAGAGCCTAGACCAGATCTCACTTTGCACCCTCCCAGGTGGTCCACTGTCCACTGCACTAGGATTCTGCTCCATTAAAAGAGTATGGGGGCACCTGAGTGGCTCAGTCGGTTAAGCTTCTGACTCTTGATTTCAACTCAGGTCATGATCTCAGGGTTATGAGATCGAGCCCCACGTGGGGCGACACACTGAGTGTGGAGCCGGCTTGAGAGTTCAGACTCCGTCTCTCTCTGTGGCACCCCCACTCCCTATCTCTCTAAAAAGAAAGGAGGCAGGAAGGAAAACAAAAACACAAACAATGGCTTTTGTGCCTTCAATTCTAGCAGCAGTGTCTGGTAATGTGGTGTGTTTCAGAGCTGGGGCCCAGCCTTCTCTTTCCATTCTCCCACCCCAAGAGTCACAGGCTTGAGTTTTACTATGCGTATAAGGCCTCCTGCCTTAGAGACCTCAGGATTCCAGGCTTCTATGTCAACTACGTATCAAGCTTGGGATATTTCCTGTTCTTAAGGTAGGTCCTTCAAGACCTAAATTTAGAGTTGTGCTGTGTCTCCCTTTCACTCTCTATTGTACCTTCTTGGTAGCCCTGTAGAGTAGGAGAGACGTACACTCACTACTCAAGAAAACAAACTAGAACTAGCCTAAGAAACTTGTTCAAAATTATATTGTGAAGGTGTGGCTACCAGGATCCAAACCCAAGTCCATCGTACACATCTGCTAGACTAGCACCCCTATAATAAATAAGACCACATAGGATTTTCTTAATCTGCACATAATTTATTCATTTGTTCGTTTATAAGAGAGCTGGGGGGAGAGGCAAAAGGAGAAGGGGAGAGAGAGAATCTCAAGCAGGCTCTGTGCCCAGCCTAATGCAGAGCAAAAGCTCATAGCCTTGAGATCATTACCTGAGCCGAAATCAAGAGTCAGATGCTTAACCAACTGAGCCACCCAGGTGCCCTTTATACCCCCTATATTTAATAACAATGGCTAGAATATTATATGGGAAGAAAATAAAAGTCAGGCTTTACAGCCATTTCTGATTTCAGCGCATCAGGATTCTTCTTCCATTAGCTAAACAGATTATTACCGTTCCAGATGGTAGGTTGAAATTCGCACTCTTGGACTCTGAGCTATTGGGGTCCTCTCATTTATCCAAGCTAAAAGAAGAGAGAGTAATGGTGCCAGCACAAAACCCAGTGCAAGATTCGTGCTGTGTAGCTCCTTCCCCAGATCATCCATTTTAAATGCCGTGTTAAGGTACATTGCTAAGGTTGACGAACTCAGACTTTATCAGCTCCATATCAAGTTGCCTTCCAATGCCATTTAATGAAGAAATGGAAAGGAATAGCGTATTTAAAGCTATGTGACAGAAAGGATCCACTGAGTGCAGGGTGATAGGTAATTACCATGAACATGGAATCAACTGGGCCCAACTGGAAGGCCATTTGGATGGGCCTAACTGCATTAAAGTCCTGGGAACATCATGGGAAAGAATGTACTCTGTTGGAAAAGAAAGTTGAAGAGGGAAGGGCTTAGTCCTTCATCCTGAGAGGGAATAGTTGATTTCATGGAGTGCTTGATGTCTCTTATACAGCCTTCAGCCCAACACCCCTCCTTTGGTTTCACCTTCGTGTTTGGGTTCTGATGTTGAGCTCTAACCATAGCAAAGAGGAAATAAAAATAAAGAACAGTGGTAGTAAAATCTCTATAGGCTATAAAAGGAAGGCCTTAGAGAAACCATCTAGCCTAGTTGACTTGAGATGCAAGAAAGACTGGGTTTAAATCATAGCTGAGCATTTACTAGCTGTGTGGCTTTGGATATGTTACTTACAGTCTCAGAGTCTTTGTTTCCCAATGGGTAATAATGATGATATTACCAGTATCCAACTCAGGGTCATGGTATGGGAATTTAAACTTGATATCAGACATAAAGCAGTAGAGTAGGACCTAAATATAGTGACTGAGGATAACTGTTATAAGTCCTCTTCCCTTCTTCTGCAAAGTAACTTTTGAAATACTTGGAGTGAAGGAACCAAGTGGTGGAAGTAGTTGAGAACATCCATGCAGACAGCAACAGAGACAAGAAACAGCTGTGGAAAGCTAGAGCCCCAGACATGCAAGGGCAGCAAAGAGCTGTGCTCTGGAACTGGCGTCCTTGAGGTACAGAGGACAACATCCCTGTAGAGAGGGTTCTTCATTCACTCACTAATTCTTTAAATAGGTGTTGTTTGATCTGCCATGTGCAGGCCATCGAGCTCAGGGCTAGGACAGCAAAGGATAAGTGAACATGCTCCCTGCCCTCACAGAGCTTAGTTATTCTTGTGGAAGACTGTGTTCATAAAAGACCCTCCAGGAACCTGCTGGTGATTTCTACCAAGGTAACAAAGTCCAGAAAGAGGCTAGGGTTCTGACAATCCCATGGGTGGGAGCCGAGTCAGAAAGAAACTGCATAATTACAATTACAGTCCTCCTGTGGTCCACGGGTTGGAAAATAGCAATTGCTATAATGCTGTTTTTGAGAAGACCACTCAATATTTCTTTCTGTTCACCCTTTATAAAGTCCCAGAGGGGGGAAAAAAGTCCCAGAGGATTACTCCTCCATAAAAATAGTGTTGCATATACGTGCAGTCATGCTTACTACTGACAGCAGTTCACAGAGTAATGTGCTACCCTCATTTTATATTTGAGTTAGGGAGGCTCGCATAAAAATGAAGCCCAAAGCAGGCGTGGCAAACGGTAAGTCTGAGTTGTGGCTTTCTCCAGAAGCCACAACATCCAAAACACTGGGGCGGGGGGGCCAAGGGGCTGGAGATGCTCTCTGGAGTCTGAACGGGGAAGCACTATGGCAAAGCTTACTTGTAGTGTCTCCTTTTCCTCTTTTCCATTTTTCATCCAGCTTTTCTGGTTCTTATGGATGACCCTTATTATCCATGCATACTTTGTTTGCCTCCCTCACACCCTTTATGGAAGGAAAAGTATTATAATTAATTATGTATATATAAATACATATATAATTCAGTATATTATATACAATATATAATATATATAGTTCAGTATATTTTATCTCTCTCTCTCTCTCTATATATATATATATACATATGTATTTGCATAACAATTCACGGTTTCAGTGAAAAACCCTTGACCATTGTCAAGTACAAAGAGAACTACAGTGGTTTCACTTCTCGTTTTAGTAACTTGAAGCGTGAAGCAGTGGGGTGCCGTGGAAAGTGGGCTGCCCCAAGGAGGCAGGGGACCCACATCCAGGCCCTGCTGCTCGTTTACACTCTATTTTATTGACAATAAACTCATTTCCTTGAACTTCAGTTTTGTGTCAGGAAAGTGGGGAAACTAATTCTTAACCGGCTACCTCGCTCAGATAATAAGAAATTCAGATGCGGTCATAATTGTGTGACTATGTTCCAAGTTGCAGGATAGTACACAAATTTAAAGCGTTCTCTCATTAGTATCAATTTCTCTCTGTTCCACTCCTCATCTCTCTTTAATCTGGAGAACTAAAATGGCTTCAAAGAACTGTGCTTGGGGATCCCTGGGTGGGATCACAATCCCAGAGCGTGATCCTGGAGACCCAGGATCGAGTCCCACATCGGGCTCCCTGCATGGAGCCTGCTTCTCCCTCTGTCTGTGTCTCTGTGTGTGTATGTGTGTCTCTCATGAATAAATAAATAAAATCAAAAAAAAAAAAAAAAAAGAACTGCCCCTGGTCTATTTGTCCTCTTTCCTTCCCTTCCTTATGTTGCCATCATATCATTTCTTTCCCTCCTCGTCTGCCTCACCTGCAATTTTCAGAATTCCCGTCTAGGAGAAGGGACTGATGGGAAGGAGGCCAGCATCAGCCTGGTATACAAGAAACATTCCAGCTGCACTTTGGTTTTCCTCCTTGGAGTCTTGAACATTTGCTTGAACTAACACACAGATGCAGAACACACACTCCAGTATGAACACAGACACACTCACCATAGCCTGGACACACACAAACACACACCTTCAGAAAGACTCGGAATCTAACACCACAGATGTTCGTATATAAGCAATCACATACAAACTTGAGAGCAGAGAACCTATCTCAAACAGCTGTAGACACCACATCAAAGGCACATATTCCCCTTGCAGTAGAATCCCAGGGTTCCACGAGGACACGATCACACAGACACACGCACTTTGGCATTCACATACGGACAGAAACACTTAGAGGCATGTGCACAAATACACAGATCCACATTCATGACCGTGTAAGGCTTATAAGCACACCCAGGCATGTTCAGAAACTCCTGTTATGCTCCGACCAAAATATGCTCTGGGGGCAGCCCCGGTGGCGCAGCGGTTTAGCGCCGCCTGCAGCCTGGGGTGTGATCCTGGAGACCCGGGATCGAGTCCCACGTCGGGCTCCCTGCATGGAGCCTGCTTCTCCCTCTGCCTGTGTCTCTGCCTCTCTCTCTCTCTCTCTCTCTCTCTCTTTCTGAATAAATAAATCTTAAAAAAAAATATGCAAGGGATCCCTGGGTGGCGCAGTGGTTTGGCGCTTGCCTTTGGCCCAGGGCGTGATCCTGGAGACCCGGGATCGAATCTCATGTCAGGCTCCCGGTGCATGGAACCTGCTTCTCCCTCTGCCTATGTCTCTGCCTCTCTCTCTCTCTATCTCTCTGTGACTATCATAAATAAATAAAAATTTTAAAAAATTTAAAAAAATATGCTCTGAAACACTCAGTCACAAACACGCTCTAGGGTGTGGCCACATTTTAAGTTTCGACAACCATGTTTTCCAAAAGTCCTTGCTGTTCTTCCTGGGGAAAAATAGTATGTGCTCTTCTAAGAATTCCCCTTAACATGACCCACATTAACCTCAGTGACATTATTTTCTCAGTAATAATGTCTGCTCTTTCCTAAATGTGGTCACAGGGAGTGGTACTCAACAGGAAGCAGCAACGTGCACTCCCCACCTAGAACCATTTCATAACCCCCTGAAAAAGTCAATGTTCCATCAGAAAATACTCATTTCCTGCAGAAGAAACTGCTGTAGCTCTTGTCACGTGGTCACCTCAGCCATATCAGCCCTATGTTTCTGGGACCTCCAGGTCATCCCATTTCTTGGTCTGCCCTTAGCCCCGAATTGCACATTATTAGACCAGAAATTTGGACTTGTCTCTCTCTATTACAATGAGTGCCACTTTCAACCAAATTATTTTAATGTTTCCTTCATGACAGTCATAACTTAGTAGGTAATAACTTTAGAGTGACATCAAGTGACAAAATGATGGAGTGTATTTTACATATTCGCTTGAATGATAGTGCTTAAATATGGAAATTTCCAGCATGTCTCTAACAGCCTTATTTACGGTAAGAGTTTATAGAGGAGACATGAAAAATGAGAACTGGATTTTATAAAAACAAAAATGTATCAGGCAAAATTAGTTAATAAATAGAACATCCCAAAGAATGGCCAGGATATTTGTGGATATGCGTTAATCAGAATTCCTTTGGAACTAGTTGCTAGACTTTATTTAGCCTTTGTAAGGAAACTGGCTTAGAGTAGTGGGGAAGGGATCTGAATCAGGATCCTTTTGAGTCATCAAGCGGAATTTCAATTGCATTCAATAGAAAAGGGAAAAGTGGGCAAAGACCTGGTTCAGTTAAAACTGCCCAAACAGCTTTCAGAGAGCTAGCATGTCATGAGGTAGTTTCCACTCCAGAGACTCAGTTGAAGAACTATATCTCTTCCCTGATCTCTCTGGGACCCAGTCTCTTAGTTCTAACTCAGTTTGATGGGGTAAGAATTGAGTTGACTTTCCATGGACTCAGCCATGGACTCCTCAGCTGATTTGGTGGAAGCATCCACCTGGAGGTTCTGTGGTTTAGCACAGCATTATTCCCTCTGCACTGTAAACTCCATGAGGTTGGCAGTCCTGCAGCCCTCGTGCACCACTGACTCATCCGCCCTTAGCACAGTGGCAGGTACATCGCTAACTGAACAAGTACTGGGTCCAGCTGGGCAAGAAGCACCGCAGGAGCTTTTCATCCTCAAGCAGAGTTTCCTGCTTCATGCTAGCTGTTTTCTGCATCCTCTGTTCCTTCTGGACTCCACGGTTTACCATCCAGCAAGGCTTTTCGGAGCCGTCTCCAGAAGATGTGCCGCCCCAGGACGCTGTCTTCCCATTCCAGGTAAGTGTTTCTGCTGAGGAGGCGATACAGCTCCACCTGCTGCCGCAGCAGGGACTTCTCCACCTTCTGCAGGACAATGAAGATGATGCCAGCACGACTGCTAAGAAACTGCCAAGTCTGGGCAATCTCATACTCAAAGATGCACCACCGACTCTGGATGAAGTGTTGGGACACCACAACAATAACCTTCCGGCTTTTGTAGAAGCCTTCCTGGATGATGTTGGCGGCAATGGCCACACCAGGAATGAAGTCTCTGTAGTGAAGGCAGAGCTGAAAGGGGGGCACTCCCTCCTCCAAGTTCTTTACCAATTCATTCCTCACCCAGTCTTCATCCTGGCTTGAGTAGATAACAAATGCATCATAGGTACTTTCACCTCTGTTATACCTTTTGCAGCCAGCGAGAAGCATCAGGTGAAAATAGAACTTATACGCTAAAACTGCTACCAGAGAAACCATGAGCACAGTGAAAACTGACACACTAATGATAGTCTTGCTCCTCTGACAGGTGGCATTCCTAAAACTTAGCAAGGGCATGTCCTGCATGTCTAAAGGTTTTGCACACACCATTTGTTCAACTTCCACCAAGAGCTGCCTGTGGTCTTTGACCCACTGCAGGAAACTCTGATGTTCACAATCACAAGCAAAGTTATTCCGAGTAAGATTTAAGGAAACTAGATTACTTGGAAAATGCTGTTGTCCTTGTTCCTTGAAGGCTACTATTCGATTAAAACTGCAATCTAGGATCTGGAGGGAGAGGAGAGGTTCATAAGCTAGTGTACCCAATGACAAGAGGCTATTGTGACTCATATTTATCAACTGAAGTTTAGGAAGTGAGACAAATGCTTCCTCGGACACCCGTTCCAGATGACACCTAGAAAGGTCCAGAAAGGTTAAGTTGGTCAGCCCTTTGAAAATATTGGGAAGGAAGTTGTCCTGAAAAGAATTATCAGCCATTTTCAAGACTTGGAGGCTGACCAAGCCATCAAAAATGCCCTGGAAAACAACTTCAGTGCGAGTATAAGAAATATCAAGGTAACGGAGGTTTCTGAGGGACAAGAATACTGAAAAATCACTGGCCTGCTTCAAACTGGAATGCTGTAAATCTAGATATTCAAGTTGTTCTAAGCCCAAGAAGTTTGAAGTCATGGTAATGATTTCATTGAAGCTCAGATCTAAATGTTTCAGTCTGGTTGTCCCAAAATCAGAGTGAGAGCAGCAAGTCTTAAAACTCAGGCCATTTCTACTGAGATCTAGAAACTCAAGGCTTTCCATCTTCATCTCAGCAAAAGTGCTTATACCTTTGTTGGAAGTGAGAACAAACTCCTTGAGAGAGTCCAGCTCCCATGCGGGAAATTGTTCTAAGTTACAATTAACTATTTCCAACCGCTGCCATCTGAGATTTTTAGGAAGGTATTTTGGTGTGTCTAAATACAGATGCGCCAAAGAAATTGCAGAAATGTTTGCCAAGTGGTTAAATAAGTTAGTAGTATCCTCTGAGAAGCTATCAAAGTATGCTATCCGGAATTTTTCAATGGTCAAATTGCACAGTCCTTCCAGGAGAGAATTGTCAAAGCTCTCCAAGTTCCTTTCATTTTTAAATTCTCCCAGAACCAACTGATTGATCTTCAAGCCAGCCAGACCTTGAATAAAAGTTTTCATTACATCTGTACTATCAAAATTACTTCTCAAAGTCAGTTCATGGAGTTTAATTTCTTTAAAGGAACCTGGTTGGATAAAGTATAAAGGGTTCAGGGACAAGTCTAAAGAAAGGTTGAGTAGTGGCATTTTATGTAGAACCTGCAAGTCTTCACGATAAATATTTTGGATCTTGTTATTGGAAAGATCCACGTTCTCCAGGTTTGGCATGTTAGAGAAATATGCAGGTAACTTGAAGGAATGGATAAGATTGTGAGCCACATTAAGCTCCTTCAAGGTTTTGAGATGTCCAATGGGGAAATCCTCTAGAGATGTTAGTTTTGTCTCCTTGGCCACCAGCGTCTTTAAACTTGATAGTCCAGAAAAGGCTCTTGGAAATAATCTCTGGATAGGGTTTCCTGTCAATATCAAGATGGAGAGGTGGTTTAGGCCCTGATATGCATCATCTTCAATTATCTGAATTTCACACCTACAGGGAAAAGAGATACAGATTATATAATATTTCTGGGGAATTAAAACTCAAAAAAGAATAGCCATCCTAGTCATCTAGCTCTTTGTGCAGATGTGACATGATGTGTGATTGTGTCTTGACAAAGACATGAAGCAGGATAGATGATGACATGAGCAAATAAGAAGCCCCACAGATTCAGTATTATCCTACTGGACACAATGACAAACTATTTTTGTCACACTAGGCACATGTGCTAAGCAGAGGCAGCACATCCCTCAGAAGGAAATCGGCTAAAGATCAATAATTGGGGCACATGAAGACTGTACAGCAGATAGAGTATGTAACTACCTTGGATTAACTTCAGCCACTTCCTGTCACATGTAATTGTGATTATCCGTCAGATTGGTACAGATGATACAGATAGCCGTTAGCTGTAAGGCATGATAAATGACTGGTAAAGTGTCCACTTCAAAGATATAAAAAAAATTTACACAAGTGTCACAGTTACCTCAAGATTTATGCAGAGCTTTCTATATATGATAGCTAGATATTTGAAAGTTGGAGTTATCACAGGTGAATGTTAGTAACAGGTGATAGGAGTGAGTCCTATGAAAGAAAAGGAAAGTGTACAATGAAACCTTACATCAAAGGAATGGACCTACATCAGGGGGATAAAAGCAGGCTTTTCTGAGAGCATGTGAGTTGAAATCTGAAGGATGGCTAGGAATTACCAAGAAAAGAGAAGAGCAGATACAAAAGCCATGATACATAGAGGAACCCTGAGAAACCGTGAGAAACTTCTATGTCTGTGGAGTACAGAGAGGGAAGTGGAGGGACGTGAGATGAGGTTGCGGAGAAAGGAGGTTACAAAGTAGAGGCTTACAGACTGGATAAAGCATTTTGAATTTTTCCCCCAGAGAAATGGCAGCTATACTATATACAATATTCATGGAAGTGTCCTAGAGACAAGGTGCTTATCCAGATGAGAAATGGCAAGCTAATGATAAACACTTGCTAGCACTGCAGGTGCTAGCCGGTTAGCATTTGCAAATGAGTTATTTCCTGGTCCAACCTGAATGACATTTACAATTTCTCCACTTGTCCCATCCCCTCCATGAGGGTCTTGGGTAATAAAAGTATTTTAGTCCAAGCTTTTATTGATTAGTAACTCAATAGAGGGTGGTGGGTGCCACAAAAAGAATAATTGAAAAGGGGGCAAGACATCTTGATTCTGCTATCTCCCTGGTCCTCTTATACCTCTGTGGATCTCAGTTATCATTTTCTAAATGAAGCAACTAAACTTACTTGTTTCTTACATTGCTGTCAGTTCTAGGATTTTATAACCTGTAACCTTATGTATTAGACTGGAGAGGTCTTGCTGTGTCTCTCTCTCATCAGAGGGAGCTCATCACTTTTGAGGAGCAGAGCATTAAGATGAGGAGAACATTTAACCTGGAAGCAGGAGATGCAAATATGAATCTCTGCTGCCAACAAGCTCCACAAAATGTAGAGCGTGAACATAGATCAATTACTAAAGCTCTCTGAGCCTCAGTTTCTTCATCTAAAAAAGAGAAGACAAGTATATCAGTAGGTTTCCATAGGAATAAAAGGCTGGCTGGAGGACTAGCTGAACCCTGTAAAGGAGTATGAAAGGGCAAGGGACGTCTATGGTACTATGTTTGTCCCTGCTGTAAGCCAGGATCTCCTTCTGGTTAACCAAAGGGAGAGCTGTCCTCTCTCGAAGCCTCTGAGAGAAATTCCTTGTGTATGTGGTGGTTTGAAGATGAATTATAAGAGACACTGTTTGATAAGAAACTACTTCTTGTTTTAAAAAGGGGGAGGGGTGAGATGCCTGAGTGACTCAACGGTTGAGCTTCTGCCTTCGGCTCAGGGTACAATCCCAGGTCAGGGGCTCGAGTCCCACATCGGGCTCCCTGCATGGAGCCTGCTTCTCCCTCTGCCTGTGTCTCTGCCTCTGTCTCTCTCTCTGTGTCTCTTACGAATAAATAAATAATTAAAAAATTAAAATAAAAAGGAAGAGGGATAATCTATCTTAATTAGAGTTCTTAACAAAATCCTTATTCAGAAAACTGAAATTTAGAAACTAATGAAGTGCTATAATAATATTTTTATCCTTATAAAGTCGACTTGTAAGGTTTTTAATATATACATGCTAACATTCATTATCACATTTATCCCTATGGAGTAAGTCTCACCATTTCCATTTCACAAACATGAAAACTGACAGTCAGAGAGGTGAAGTGACATGCCGCAGTCCACATGGCTATCAATGTTACAGGAGGACTTGGCTCGGCCTTCTGACCCCCACAGAGCTCTGTGCTCTACCCCACTAGCTTTAAAATGCTCCGTTCCGCCTTTGTTATATACTCTGTCAATTTCTAAGTTAGAGTATAAAACATCAGATGCCCGCTCTTCTTTCTACAGAAATATCTGCTATAAAGAGGGTTTTTGTGCTATGATCTTAGAATCTATTAAAAGTTTCTATAATAAAAAAACATATGCAAAATGCTTCTGCATTTTCCATAAACTATTATAGAGAACACGATCCGTTATCCAGTACCTTTTAAAATAAGGCCCTAATGGTGATGATATTTTTAGGATTCAAGTCCCCTCAAAAATAATGATAATAATTTCACCTATCCTAATAAAGGATAAATTTCCCAGCATCAGGAAAGAAAGTCTTAGTCGTTCTTTCTCACAATGGATATTTTCCTTTGATCTTGTCACCTTTCTTCTTGGGTTACTTGCATCTTCCTATTTCCCTATCCTCTATCCCACTTTCAATATTCTAGACATTCTTTGAATCCCACTCTGTTCATGAAATCTGTCTTCACTACCCACTGCAGACAGAGTAGGCCCCTCTTCAGAACAACACAATATGTTGCCTCTAGCACTAGCTTATAACTTACTGGTGTATATTACCATCTTTATCTCAGGTTCAAAATCCAAAATCAGAATCGAGTGACATTCATTGCATACCTAATATGTGCCTAGCACCATGCTCAGGATTGTGACACGTTCCTTCTTTCAAGTACATATGTATGCCCTCTTGAATCGCTGGGATTGTATATACCAATATACTCTTGTTTCCTAGCAGACTGTGTAATATATACCAAGTAGTCAGTAAATATCTGCTGTGAAAGAGTTTGAGTCAATTTTCTTCCCTGACTTAAAAGAATATCGAAAGATAGAGCTGTCCTTAGAAACCTTCTCATCCAGCTGCTCATTTCACAGATGAGGCAATGGGATCTGGAGAAAGGAAGTGGCTTATCCAAAGTTATACAGCAAGTAAGATATCTGTTGAACGAATAAGTGAATAAAGACAAGACTCCTGACAAGAATGAAGTGATAGAACCGTGAACATTCTACCTTGAGCAATGTGTGAAAGCTCATTCATTACCTGGATAAATCCAGCACCTGCAGTTCTGGGAAGTTGGAGAAGCAATGGCTGCCTAAATGCCTCAGGGGGTTAAAGCTCAGGTCCAGTTTCTTGGTTGATGTGGGGATGTTGTTGGGGATTTTGCTGAGATTCAGCTCCATGCATTGGTAAGTAATGTTAGGAACCACCTGCAATGATCACACAGTAGATACAGCGTCTTAATGCATGCACCTCAACTGCCCTCTCTCCTTTCCTCTCCTAAGGCAGAGCAGTGGAGACCTCCATACAAGTACAGGGTCTGTCCATCCATCCATCTATCCATCCATCCACCCACCCACCCATTCATTCATTTATCCACTCACTTTATACTGCAGCTTTGGAACGGCAGAGAACTTACTATGTCCCCAGTTTCCTAACCTCTACCATCACAATGGCAGCTTTAGGGAGAGGCAATAGAATCAAGTGGTGAAAACATGAAGCTCTGGAACCCAAAAGCCCTGGATTTCACCCAATTCTTCCATGAGCTATGGGGCAAAGTTTTTTTTTTTCCCGAGTACCCCCGCAATTGTATACAGCCTTGGGGAGACTACCAGTTAAGATGTCCAGACTTCACAGTCATAGCTCAACTTTTGCAGTGGCATTCTTTCCCCTGACTCATTGATGTTTGAGCATATGATACAGAAATGGAGAAAAATATTTAGGGATGTATAGACAACAGTGGCGGGACCTAGTAAATAAGGTCAAATAGTTTACGTTCCTTTGGTTTGTGTGTTTGTTTCCCTCATACTTTCCCCAATTCTTTGTAAGCTCTTGTTCTCTAACCTCCCAATTTCTAAATTCTCTGATTTCTTCAATACGACTTCTTACTTAAGCCAGCTAATTTTGGTTTTCTGTTTAAAACCAATAAAATCAGTTAAAAGGATTAAATGAAATAAAGTATTTAAAGAGATTATCTCAAAGCCTGTTACAGTGAAGGTGATCAATAAATGTTAACATTAATTATTAGTAGTTTTTATTAATCCCCTACCATATGTGGGCATCTTTCTTATACGTTATATGCTTTAATTTAATCTTCAGATAAACCTTTTAAAGAAGAAGAATTCAGAGGTAAGTAATATGCACAAAGTATCACAGGTCACATGTGCAGCTCTTCACTTCATTGATATGTCTCCTGAAATGCTACCCCTTATAGGACCCTCCCTCCCCCGACCGTACTGTCTAATAACACATGGTCACAGGCTTCCTTCCTTTACCCTCTTTCATCACACGCTGTATCTTCATCTAACATGACATTGTCTATGTGATTATTCCACATGTGTTGCTCATTTCCCTCACTAGATTGTAAACTTTGGTATTCGTGCTCTCTGCTATGTCTCCGGCACTCAGAATTGTGTCTGGCAAATGGCTAATGCTCACTATTTATTGAGTAAGTGAATGAACAACTGACTGAATGAAGATTTGCTTAGATCTGAATTGTTGGCATTTTCTCTAAGTGCTGTGGGCAAAGACCCATGTGATAGGGCTCCAGACTTCCATGAGCTCACACAATCTAGAGGAAGAGTTGAGATAGGAACATGACTCACACCACTGAAAAGGACCATAAACCAGGCCTGGAAAATAACTTCCTCTAGCTCATAAATGGTAGTGATCAATTCTGGATCCAGGGATTATAGATGGCTTCTGAGCAAAAGAAGTTTTCTTTTTTTTTTAAATAAATTATTTTTTATTGGTGTTCAATTTACCAACATACAGAATAACACCCAGTGCTCATCCCGTCAAGTGTCCCCCTCAGTGCCCGTCACCCATTCACCCCCACCCCCCACCCGCCTCCCCCTCCACCACCCCTAGTTCGTTTCCCAGAATTAGGAGTCTTTATGTTCTGTGTCCCTTTCTGATATTTCCCACACATTTCTTCTCCCTTCCCTTATATTCCCTTTCACTATTAAGTAAAAGAAGTTTTCAAGGGGAGTCTTGAAGGATGAGTAAGATTTAGATACACAGAAAGAGGAAGGGGGAGAGAAGAGTGTAGGCAAGAAGGGATGGAAACTAATTCAGAGCAGCTGGTACACAGTAGAAGTGGTGAAGCCTAAGCCAGTGGGGAAGCCAGAGCCCTATAGCAGTACTTTCAATCATCTAACAAGTGTAAGTTGAGGACCTACTATGTGCAAGGCACTGGGGGTAGTGTAAGCCTTGACAGTTGGCTTTTCTTGTAATGCAGGTGCCTGATTTTAAAGCTTTGGTTGGGGAGGCATCCACTTCAAAGAAGTGTTTACCTCCAATAAACACAATGCCAGCCATGTCACTAGGTAAAGTGCCAGGCCACCTCCCCTCACTGAGCCTTATTCTTATTACTCCCTCTTCCCACATTCACCTCCTCCTAAATCCCTGCTCTTATGGTTTAAATTCACCAAGAAGGAGGGAGCCAGGGAAATCCTAGCCCCTCATCCTCAGCCCCAGTAAGAACAGAACCCCACATGCTTGAAAGTTTTTTTTTTCTCTCTGCCTTCAACATTGTTGTGTGGCCCTACTTGTGCTGTATAATTTCCAGGATTTATAAGGAAGAACCTTTCAGTGCTTCAAAGTTCCCTGATGATGATTGCTGAAGAGTATCTTACAATCATAAAGAACCACAGGGGCTGGTTCAACCACAACACTGTTTATTGATAGGATAGGCTGAAACCAGCACAGAACACTAGGGTATAGTGATAAATAAAATTAGCAATGATGTTGTTCACTTATAGATTCCATTTCAAAGGGAAGGACAAATAATAGATATTCAATAATGTATAATCATGTGTTATTAAAAAAAAGCATCATAGAGATTAGAGGCAATATGGAGGGTAGATGATCAAGGAACACTTCCAAGGGGAGGTGACATTTAAGCAGAAATATGAATAAAGTGAGGGATTAAATCATGAAGATTCTAAGACTGTATGGTCCAACATGGTAGCCAATGACCCCACACAGCTATTGCACACAAGAAACTTATTCTAAACTGACAGGTACATTAACTGTAAAATAATACTAAATTTTCAAACACTTAATACCAAAGAAAGAGTGTGAAGCGTTTTATTAATAGTTTAGTCTATATTAGATTTTCAAATAATATTTTGAATATACTAGGTTAAATAAAATATTATTAAAACGAAATTTACCAATTTCAATTTTTTCAATGTGGCTACTAGAAAATTTAAAGCTATGATTTTTGTTAGCTAAAATGTAGTTAAATAGAAATTTGGCTAAATTTAGTTACATTTATTGTTTAAATTTAGATAAGATCATGTGACCCACATTGTCTTGCATTTGGGCAGCACTGATCTAAGAACAAAGAATTCTAGCTGGAGGAAATAGCCAGTGCAAAGGCCCTGGGATCGCAAACTGCCCTAATATCACTCAAAAGTTATTACAAGTTGTTAAGAGGGCAGTTTGTTAGAACTGAGATTCAGGCAAAACAACAACAAATAAACAACAAACAAAAATGTGCAGAGTGAGTTAGAAGAGAAAGGGGACTAGGAAGCAGGACACCAGTCGCTATCCAAGAATCAAGGCCAGGGGGACTATGGACCTCTTATAGGGTGGCACTGAGGGGATGGGCAGGGTTGTACAGGCTTTGGAGACTGAGAATATAGGGTGTGGGTAAAGGGAAGGCGTGATTTTATTCAGGGTGACTTTGATTAGAGGATCCATCCCTATTGACTTGACGGTAGTAGGGACGCACAGAGGACAAGCAGCAGGGCTCTGGGCAGGGAGTTGGAGGAAGGGAGGACTTCGACATGACAAATTCATCTTTGCTACATATTAAAGCACATTACTTCCCCAGTGCCCTCAGTCTCAGGACTCCAACTGGTTATGCTCTTCTTGAGGTTCTGAACCTGCCACACACTAAATCCCAGAATATTCCTTCGGTTGTTGGGTTCTACCCTGGGCTCCCCAAGCACTTGTGAAGTCTACACAGGGGAAAAACAAGAGATCCATCATGAATGAGGTGACATAAAAGTTGGAAGGTGTTTCACAAAGAAACCATCGCATCAGCTGTCATTTTATGTGGTTCTCTCTCTCTCTTTTCCCCATCTCTCTTTGTCTGTCTGTCTTTTTCTCTATTTCTCTCTCTCTCTCCTTTTCTTTTCCAATCGTGTTTCTTTTCATCCTTTGGAACTACTGTTAGATCTGAAGGTCTGAAATCCACTTACAAAGTTCTCCCTAAGAAGAAATGTGTGGGAAATATCAGAAAGGGAGACAGAACATAAAGACTCCTAACTCTGGGAAACGAACTAGGGGTGATGGAAAGGGAGGAGGGCAGGGGGTGGGGGTGAATGGGTGACGGGCACTGAGGGGGGCACTTGACGGCATGAGCACTGGGTGTTATTCTGTATGTTGGTAAATTGAACACCAATAAAAAATGAATTTATTATTAAAAAAAAAGAAAGTTCTCCCTATTAAGAGACAAAATCCAAAGCAAAACAAAACAAAACAACCTTCCTAAAATTGAAAAGGGCAAAGTGAAAGACCGAAGCAGAGAGTACTGTCCAAAGGAATGACAGGAAGCAGACTTCTTGCAACCCTCTATTGAAGTAGGTATTATTGTAAGGCTTCTATAAATGTTAAAACCAGCTCCAGAGAGGTTCAACAACTTATTCAAGGTCACACAGCCCAGAAGTCAAAGAACAGTGACTTTAAGCAGATCTATCTGACCTAAAGCCCCTATTAGCACTTCAAGTCCTAAATGGGCCATGACGCCACGGGCTGCCTGGTTGGTGCCATGTAACCATGAACTGTTTGGTCCCTGTGGCCTCTCAGGTTCTTAAGGTAATTCGACTCCTTGTTGCAAATGAAACTAGTCAACTAGGAAGGACCCATAGTGAGAAGTTCTGGGCAGAGGGCAGTTTTTCAGAAGCAAGGCAGATCTCACAGGAGGTGAACCGACATGAAACCACATACCTGCACGCAAGGGTCCCAGCTCTCAGGTCTCAGGCAGGAGAGGAAGGCCATGGCTGGGATCAATATCCCAGCCAGGTGGGTAGGAGACATCATTCTGGCATTTTCTGTGCCCAGAAGTGGCTCTGTGAAACATGACACGCTGTATCCACCTCCTGGGGTGGCCGCTAGGGCTCTGCGACCTTCTCTCCCCCGCTGGTTGCCCCGGGACAATTACTGTATTGAAAGCAATGCTGCTGAGTTAAGGGGCAAGAGGAAGTGAGAGTGGCAACCTTAGCGTTCTGGGCTTTTGTTTCTCGAACATTTATGTCCCCAGTCACAGGAGGGGAAGTTAGAAGAAGAAGAACAAAATGTCTGCAGATCAGTGGTCCAAGTAACAGCAAGAGGAAGCTGGCTTTCATCCCAGGAAGTCATCTGACCTCCGGGTTAGTGAATTTAGGAAAACAGTCAGACCGGTCAAACAGCTTATGCAACAATCCAGGGAGGTGGCTTTCCTATTTCATTTGAGTAGTGGAAACTCACTGTATGTCTTATTTTCCTAGGGCCACCTTAACAAATTGCCACAGGCTGGGTGGCTTCAAGGGCAGACAGCTATTCCTTTTGAAGTTCTGGGGGCTGGAAGTCTGGGATCAGGGTGTTGGCAGGTTTGATGGGTTCTCAGTCTCGCTCCTTGACTCGCAGGTGGCTGTCTTCATTTGGTCTTCCCCTGGTGTGTGTCTGTGCCCTAAGTTCCCCTTATTATAAGGACACCAGTCATTTTGGATTAAGGCCTACCTGTCTGACCTCATTTTACCTTAATTACCTTTTTAAAGGTCCAGTCCCAGAACAGTCATGTTCTGAGGTACTGAGGGACTTCAGTAGGGATTTTCAGGGGAATATAATTCAGCCCATGGCAGTGTCCACTCTTGTGAAATCTTGTGAAGAAACTCATGTTTGTAAAACTGATTGAACGTACAACTTTAGAGAAACCCAGTTTGAAAAGCACAGGAACATTGAGAAGAGATTGGAATGACGCATCACATATACTGAAATTTAGATTGAATGTGGTTAACCTCTAGCCCCAAGGCCGCTACCGATCCTAGATTTCTAGTCTGCGAAGTGGGACAATGGTTTAAATCACAACAGAAACTCACATTTATGAAATTCATAAAAATCAAGTCATATGATAGTAGTCAAGTAATGCAAGTCATTTAGCCTTAGTTTTCTAGTCTTTGAAATGGAGATAATCACATTTGTCTTAAGTGATCAACTTTAGTTCATTTACATAAAATGCGTTGCCTGGTGCATGCTTCGTCAGTGTATCCCATGAACTGGTAGCTATTGTGATCATTAAACATATGAATAAAACGGAGATCATAATAAATACCTCAAAGTATTGGTGTGGGATTAAATAAGCTGGCATCTGTTAAGCTTTTAGAGCAGGATCTGGGATGTAGCAAGGGCAAGGCAAGTTTCTGTTAAATAAGAACATAGGTACAAATGGGGATGTCACTGGCACTGTGTCCTAGACAGTTCTACCAAGATGTCCTGCAGGCACCTCAAATTCAACACACCTAAAAATCAAGCTGTGAGGGAGCATGTCATAGGGGGCCGAGCACAAACTCTTGTAGTCTTCTTCAACACAGCTGCAAAATTCAGCTAAAAATAGCCCCACCATCAAAACTTTGCTTTGAGGGTTAATTGAGGTGATATAAAGGTCATAGTAGGTGCTCAAGAGTGTTGAGTTCTCTGGAAAGTTAATAGCATTTCACTTTCACGGAGCCATCCCAGACGGAAATCACATTGATTTCCTCATTTTTATCATCAAATACATGTTAACTATATTTACTTATTCTGTTTTTTTTTTAATTTAATATTTATTTACTTTTATTTTTTTATTGTTCTGGCATGTGCCTTGCTGACTAATATAACCGCCCCTCCCAGGGCCAGCCAGTCCTTAGAGTCAGCAAGTGACTTGCCCTGGTGTTCACTGTTCATGTGCAAATGAACCAATTCAAAGCTCCTGCTCTAAACAGCCTTCTCCGTCTGGCTTTTATACTAGGAGGCAATATTCTTCTAATAATAAAGAATCATCACAGAGCCAGGTACCAGATCCATAGAGAAAACCCCACAGCCTTCTGAAATTACTCAAATTTCAGAGTTTTACTTGCCCTGTCTCTCCTTCCCTTTCCCACAGAAGCCACCAGGAAGGCTCTGGGCCTTCTGCTGGCTCCATCTGCCTCCTGACCCCCCCCCCCCCCATGGGCACCTCTCCCCATGTGGCCCTGCATGGTGTGGTCTGCAGCCCTCCTCTTGGGAGCTGTGAATAATGAGCCTTATTTTCAAAGGCAGTCATCTCTTGATCTGTTGGTCTCACCACACCTGAAGAATAATGTATTTAAAAATAAAACATTCTACCATTTCTTAGAGAGTTGATCTACAAAATAATTCCAAAACGTCAGTCTTCGTTACTATTAGCATTACCACTTTTACATCCCTCGGCCTAGACTAGTGGAATACACTATTAGCAGGTCTCTCAGGGACCAGGCTCACATCTTCCAATGTCTCAACTCTTCTTATCCATCCCTTAGCCTGAAATCAAAGCAATCTTTCTAAAATGCAAATAGAATTACTTCATGTGAAAAATATTCCAATGCTCTGTATTGCTTAGACCTCACACTTCATGCCTCTACCACCAACCATATATGCACACACCCCACCTTCTAAGAAACAAGCCATGTGTGTTATCTCTCGCCAGACATAAGAAGACCCCATTACTAGAACACAACACTTAAGCAGATAGAGTAATATGTGCCTAATGGTGCAAATCTGCTTTCTTCCCATCACTAAAGAGAAAACCCAATGATGGTCAAGATGAGGAGTAAGAGAAAAGGTTCAGGACAATCTCCTGGATTGTGTTTCATGGATATTTTATAGAAGTCTTCCTGAAAAATGTTCCTAACTATGACTGGAGGATTAATGATAGTGCCTTGCAAAGATGCCCCCCCACCCCGCCATCTCATGGGATTAGCACACTGTGATCTACTGACCTGAGTCAAAGAGATCTCAGTTCTGTGTCTACACTGTGTCTACTGCCAGTAGACAGGCAGTGTGTCAAATACAAGAGATAAATGCCTGGACCCATGATTTCTACTACAATTCAGTAATAACGACACCCTGGGCATAATGGTAGAGACTTGGCCAGGGGCAGCTTGTGTTTCTACTCCATGGGGAGTAAAGTCAACACAGGACCCATGATCATTCGATCAGTTGAGGAATCTCCATCTTCATTGGAGTTTTGGAAGAAGTATTTGATATTATTTGGCAGGTTCTGCGTATTTCATGGGAAATAAAGTAAGAGCAAAACTGACCTATGTGGTAGGTTAGGCTAATTTCTGTATCAACCTTCGGTGATTCAAAACAATACAAGTTGATTTGTTGCTCATGCAATGCTCAGTGAGAGTATTCCTGATTGGAGGTACTCCAAGAATGGCTTATGGGTCCAGGATCCTTTTATTTCATTATGGTGCCATATTCAATACGCAGCCTCTAAGTTTGCTGTGGAACGTGAAAAAAGCTCAGCTATAGATGCTCACATACCTCCGTTCAGAAGTGACCTGCACGATCCCTGCTTTCACTCCATTGGCCAGGCCTAGTCCCAAGACCACTCCCAGGGGAGACTGTCTCCAAAGCTTCAAGCCTCCTATCCTGAACCCAAAACTCATACGAATGCACACACAGAGTCCCTGGTAGCTACCACGCTGCAGCACTAATTCTGTGTTAACGGAAAGGGGACACCAATCATCCTTGATCAGAGAGTTATCTGGGCCACAACCTTAGTATCCTATAATTTTCATTTATGGTAATTAAAATAAAATAATAGGAGTGAACAATCACAACATAGCCTGACTCAGAGAAGAAAGGCCCAATTAGTTTGACATATCTAAAGAACCCAATTTGATTCTGTCCAAAGGTTCCAAGTTTCACATTTTTTCACATGTTAACACCTCTCAAATCACAACGTGTCTCACAATTGACAATATATTACAATTATAATTTGTTTTATTCTTTCTTAGCGGCCAATAAAGTAATGGTACATCTCACAAAGGGGTATCTTACATTCGATGAAGAACGGTCCCCTGTCACTAAGGGGACCAGCAGCAACAACAAACAAGTTAATAAAGGAAACAAATTGTTAAAAGGAGAATAAAGAGATTTATCTTCTCAGGACTCACAACATATCCTAGGCTGATGTGTATACTGCATCTACAAGGGACAGAGAATACTCAATGTTTCCTTTTTTCGCCCCACGGACTCTCTTACCTTTGGATACCATTACCAGTCGCGCATCCTTTAACGTGCCCTGGACCAACAACCCTGTGATCTAAAGCACAAAAGAAAAAAAAAATGTTGCTTTTAAGCAGAAGCATGAAGCATAGACTTGCTGGATCCAGGTGACTCAATTCCTGCCTCTGGGGCTGCGTCCTGACGTTAAGTACTGCCCTGGAGGTCTCAGTATTTTCTGCCAAATACCTCGAGTACCGAGGGTGAGTGAAGGTGCCCCCAGGAGCTATCAAGGCAAACAGCGAAAGTAGCACCTACTCCTCTCCAGCCTGAGATGGTTATGACCTTTCCTGTGTTATTTTAGAAATTACTTTGAGCTTCCCATCTCGGTATCGTCTGTCCCCACCAGGAGAACGCACACTCCAGGACGGTAGAGGCTTTATCGGATGTTCACATTTGCTGTGCCTGAGTAGAAACTCAGTACGTGGCTGATGAATGAACCAACGGACAGCGAATCTGCATCTGGTTTTAATAGGGAGCTGGGATTTTAGGGCACCCCTCACCTTCTCATACCGACTACTGCGACTCCTATAAGATATTCGGTGATTGTCCTGGGCCTTTTCTTTTCCGTTTCTACCTCCTAATATCTCCTGGGGATACACGGGGCCCAAGTTTGAGCAACACAGAGGTTCAGAGAGTCATAGCAAGTGGGTTAGGAGGAAAGTGTTGCGGTAAACCCCGTGCTTCTCCTAGGCTAGAAAAATCCTTCGTCTCTTTTACTCGTGAACCTGAGGCAGAGGTTGGTTCGTTATCACCAAGAGACTCTCGCCTCGTCGTTCTCTCTCACTACTCACCAAATTTCCCAGTTCACTCAGACTCTGGAAAAGCACCGTGTGATGTAGGCGGGCGTGGCGGGGGGGCTATATTTTAAATTAGTTCATTACTTGATTTACTTTCTGGCATCATCATTCCTTGGCACGAGACTTACCTTTAACATCATGAGTTTGCTTCACTGTATGATGGAAAGAACACTGTGGCCTAAGTAATAGCATTACTTGAGACTTAGGTGAGGATGTACCTACATACATTACAGTTT